GCGGTGGTCTAGAAGACATTTTGGCGGTCCTGTGCTTCCAACGTTACTCCAGGCCCACCCGTGGTTTACCAAGAAAGCTGTTTTGTAAAGGAATGTTATGCAAGTAGGATCACACTCAAATCCCATCAGAGAAACACATGGAGCCTGAAAGATAAATACTGCAATTTCCATGATTTATATTATCAGGCCCTTCTTTTGATTTTGATTTTAATAAGCCAGCAAATACATATTTTATTTAATCAAAATGCATACAAGCAAGAAAACAAAACGTTCACCACTAAAAGCTGTCAGGTATTTAAATACTACTTCTATTAAAAGTGGAGTTAGCCTGTAAGAATTTCTGCCACCTTTAGCTAAATTCTTCCTGCAGTTGATGAAAGGGGATTTACATAAGATGTCAGAGTGAATAAGAAAACTCTGTGTTCTAATCTCCCTTCCTCACTTCTAACAATGTAGATCTCTCTGATGACTTTTCCTTCTTTGGACATCTTGCTTCTGACCAGATCACTTCATTCCTACAGTTCATTGTAAGTTCAATATATCTTCAAAACATGTATGATTGTGTGATTCCGTGGGGTTTTTTCCTCTCTCTGCACCACTGTCAGTGCCCTTCAGAATCTGATGAACATATCTTTCTAACTTCCCATGTCCTGTATCTCACTTAAGTTGCCTGGGATAAGACTCTGCATGTTCCCATTACCACAGGCTATACTCCAAGCTGTACAAATCTAAGCCAATGTGCATTACAGTTCGTCTCTTCAGATCAGCTTTCCAGCAGAAATACGAGTATGTATGTGAACGTCCTCTTATCTGTTTCAACACACTTTCGAGTCAAAATGCCTTTCTTTGGAAACAGCAGTGCTAGAAACAGAATTCACTAGAAACACACAGATTATTCACTTAGGGATACAATATTACCAGAGTTGCTCTTTTTCATTTCTGATTGTTGTGATTTTTACCCTTCTATCGTACGTTGAAAGATAGATGCACCAGTTTACAAGCCCTCAAGAGCCCTACAGTCTGCTTTCAAGAACAATGCTTACACCTTCATTGACTTCATCCTACACAGGTTACCATGCAGATCACTGACACTGACCACATATTTCAAGGAAAGGGCAACATGTGTGTCATTCTGTGACCCACAGAACATGCAAAGCAATTCGGAAGTGATCTGCTAACACAGACCTTTGCAAAAACAGGCCAGTCCGTTCAGCCAGTAATGCTTACCACTGAATATACGTGGATGCTGATTTGCAGTTAGTTGTGCCTCTAAAGCGCTGGGCACACTCTCGTCTTATAGCTTAATTCCTTAAAGCATTTCCAAATTAATTAATCCAACCATTCATTCAGTTACAAGCTATCAAATAGTAATCCACACAATTGTTCTTTCAGCTGTAAATTACTACATGTACTTCAAGTGCAATGGTCTACAAACACCCTTTGTTTGTCTGAGAGTGATTATAACTGATTATAATTTCTATTCAGGGAGGGGAGATGGAAAGTGAATATTACTAAGGGCCCTATGAAACTGCAGCAAATTCTCTGAGCTGATTCTGCAAAAGTGACTGCATCTCATTTTCCTCCTCGTTGATACAGGCAGAAAACATCAGCTCACAGAACCTTGAATATTAAATACAAAAAAGCATAGTGTAAAAAAAAAAAAAAAAAAAAAAAAAAAAAAAGACTTATCTATTAATAACAGAACTTCAGGAACAAAAAAACACTTATGTTCACTGAACTATAATAAAATGTTATGGATTAACACAATTCCAGGTCTTTTGAATACTATTCAGTACCTTATTTGTACACCAATCCTACATCAAAGACATACAAAACAATTGAGTACAGGTTATAATTAATTTCAAACACCTGTAACATTAAGAGTTATATGGATTTTGCATACACTGCACAAATGAATTATGAAAAATATTTATGCATCAATTGAAAAAAAAAGTCTGCTTACTGAATTTTAACAAACCAGTGCTAATAGAAGAAAAACATGCTCAGAAAACCTGCAATTACCATTCCTCCCACCTTTACGTGTTCACTCATTACTGATTACTCTCATCTACTCTGGACACTCCACGCAAGTTTTAACTGCATTTCTTCTTTTCAATTTTAATTTCCACATTTGTGGGACATTTAGTTGAGCTTATTTACTGATATCAGTGGTTATCAGTTAATTCAAATCAGTCATTTTGCTGTATTGTGTAAAAATAAATTTAATTCGATTGTTTTGTTGTTCATCACAGAATTATATTTCATCTGAAGATAGAATTGTGGTATATTGGCTCTTCGGGTGTATTCATTACTTGTTGGCTGTTGTTACACAGTTCACTGAGAGTATTCTCATAGTGTAGTCATGTACTTAAATACTTTCTGCATTCATTTGCCTCTTTTTCATGTAACTGCGAGGCAGATGGGCACACAACTCAGTTCACCTTGCTTTTATTCTGACAGCAGTGAAGGGAAGTGGCTGCAATGTCCAAACATGATCTTCCAGGAAAAAACCCACACAGGCCTTAAGGTTTCAGGATGTGCCACAGTTTGTCAGCAACTCACCATGATCCAAACTGAAAGCCTGCATCCAGAAAAGCACTTGCTTATCTCTATTTTTTCCTTTCAAGTTCATCAGATACTACACAGTGCAATCTGCAGCTTTTCTGTCATTTACCAAAAAGTTGCTAAATACACTCGTTGCAACTTCATGTCAGCAACATGCTGATAAACTTGCTATACAGGTCCCCAACTCCTGCAACAAATAAATTAGACAGGAGGGGAGGGGGGGGCATTTAGGATTTTCAGTCCTGATATTTTAAAGGAAAAATTCAAATATACCTTAAAGATACAAAAACAAGTAATAAAGATTCTGGATCTTGAAAGCTGATGGCAGAGTTGCACTGATGCCCTGCACAGACGTAGATGATGACTAAAAAGAAGGCAGCAGAGAATCTGTCTCTGAAGATGGGAAAACACGACTGTTATAATCCAGTCAAGAGCAGATGTTGAAGTGATACAGATCTATACAGGAACTTTGAAAAGCTTCCTGCCTGGGAATTAGAGCAGTCTAGTTGTTATAGAAACATCCACTGCAAACATACTGTCGTAAAATCAATTAAAGTAATTATTTCAGTCGTTTATTTTGCAGTAACCAAACATTGCGATGCTATGATGCACAGAGAAACCTGGCTGAACATAGAAGATATGGAGCATGGCAGACCATGTGATCCAAATTTCAGGTAGCTGATGAGAATTATTTTGCTGTTTCACAACTTCACAAAGAAAACAGAAAGCATAAATACTGACCACAGTGCAAAGCAACCCCCACTCACAGTAGTGAAAAATGAGTTCACAGCATGGTCAGTCCCAAAGTTCATTCAAAAAGGTAAAAAAGATAAAAGTTGTAATTCACAAACTACTTGGATTTCAACACCTGTACACCAGCCTTATGACAGTGGAATCCATTACCATATCTTGTTTCACAATTTGGGGGGCTATTATTATACAATTTTTAAACCACAGTATCAGTAATATCAACTGGATGAATAGAAAACAAAACTGAAAATCACTCCGAGCACCGTTCTGACAGTTGTTTCACAGTATTTTCCTGACTTGAACACCCAAGGGCTACTTATCCATTGTAATGACAGAGAAATTATGCAGCATTTTCCAGCAACTTGATAATAAAATGTCTCACAGACCCTACCGCACATTTACAAATGGCAACAGACAACTTTCTTCTTAACACCCCACCACGATGCAGCTGTACTTTGTGTTCATTTCCTAGTAAGTCGGACACAGAGGCTCTCACTCATAACACATATTTGGGAATGGCCAGTGGAAGAAGAGAAATTGTCAAAAACCACCAAAATATGACAAGGACAAGGTTATTAAACACTCTGCCTAGGAGACTGGGCACAGAAAGCCCGGATTACTAAACAGGGCATGGTATATGCACACACGCAGAATCCGACCCAAAAGACGAAAGAGACTAAGAACCCAAGGCATCACCTTACTGTAATGCACAGGGCAGGCTCAGAACGCAAAGGTTTCAACAACACGCGTCATTATTTTTTTCCTTACAAGAGTTCAAATTACAATTTCAAAGAAGACACATCTCTATGTTCCCAACCTACAGGGCATGCTCAGCATCTTTTTTATACGTATATTCAGAAAAGAAAACAGAAACAGTCTACAAATGAGCGTTCAGTGCCATAAACCAGCCCAAATGCATGATGCTGTCCTAAGCAGCCATCATGAAGCTGAGGGGCAGCAATTCCATGACCTAAGAGTAAATTGTGCATCAGCCCAATTGGCGCATTCCATCAGCTAACAGCTGTCGAATAATAACAAAAAAAAGATGTGTTGCGCGTACAAAGGGGCGAAGCTCGCGGGTTCTCACACACATCCACAAACCCACCAGCTCTGAGACTCCGAGACACATACAGGTGCGTTTCCAAAAAAAACACACAGAAATAAACCTCGTGCAACGCTGAACAGGCAAAGATGCTCCACAAGTAAAAATAAACCAGGGGAGTTCCATCACAGCTGCTCATGCTCAGCTGCGCCAGCGCCCAGCTCAGTGCCATCTCACCGAGGCCCATCGCAGCTGCGCCGCTCCGCGCATTGAATTCAGCTCCGTAAAAATTCCTTCCGCCGCAGGCAGCGATTTGCTGCACCGCGTGCCGTGGCGAGGACGAGACAATGACGGACCTGGAGCACAATGGTGCGGGATGGAGGCTGAGGCGGGTTCCGACACGGCTGCGGGCTGCATCCTTGCCACACCTCTCCCTCCATCGCCGTCGCCATCATCACCTGCATCCCTGCCTCCTCTCCTCTCCTCGCTCCCATCTGCTTCCCCTCCGCCTCCTCGGCCTCCATCTCAGTGCCATCGCTCGCGCTCCACGCCACCGCCGCCCCGGCCCCGCTCCCCGCTCCCGTCCCGGCCCCCCGCCGTCATTGTTGCGGCGCGGTGGGAGCAGGCAGCCCCCGCCTCTTACCGCGCCGCGGACAGGGGACGATGCTGAGCGGCGAAGGACAGGTGCGGCGCTCCCATCTTCCCGCTGCCGCGGCGGCTCC